TTTCTGAGTTTGTGACTTCCGGACATTCTGCGTCTGTAACTCTCTGATCTTCTGACTTTCCGAGTACATGAGCTACTGACTTTCTGAGGCGGTGACTGTCAGATCTTCTGACTCTCTGAGTCTGTGAGTTTGTGATCTTCTCACTTTCTGAGTGTGTAACCTTCTTGTCTTGTGACTTTCTGAGTGTGTCACTTTCTCATCTTCTGGCAATTGTGACTTTTACTAGTGGATCTTCTTGTTGAGATTTCACGATTTCCTACAGTACAGTACAGTAGAAGAATCCGATTCAGTTACGAAGCAATCGAAGCGTGAGATTTACACAAGACTTCAAGGAATTGCAAGATCTTTATCTAAAACGAAACTGAAGCTGTAAATAAAGATACTTAACACAGCATGTCAGTGCAAAATGCAGAAAACTATTTCACTCAGAACTGCTGGATAACGTTCACTTCTCTTTCTAGAACGCAGCTGAACTTTTCTTATAGAAACTATAGCTGTTGTATGAGAGACGACAGTAATGCTGACTATAATTCAACTTGTTTTTCTCTTATCTGACTTGTGTTCACACTTATCACATACTGTACACAAACAGAATATTTGTATGTTTTTTCTTTTATACAATTCACTTCTTTCTCGCTCTTGCAATTTGGACTATTATGTTCATTGCAGACTAGAATAATCGAGGCTATAACTCTCTTTTCTTTCGTTCATTTTTGTATAAACAGATATTTTCTTATGTATCGGGAAAGAGTATGTGAGAGTAATGTGTGTGGAAAACTCTGTTCGGTTCATTACAAATAAAAACAAAGAATCCAAGCACAGAGTTTAAAGTTAAAACAGCTACAAACAAGTACCCACACAAACCCAACTGTAACATACCTAGTTTCCAAGGTAGTCGGAATGTATCTTACTCTGGAGGATGCGTAAGGATATATCTTTGTTTGGGAGGTAGAAAGGATATATCACGATATATCCAAGATAGAAGACACTCTAGATATATCCAGTTACATAGGATACATAAGGATATATCACATTTTGTTTGAAGAAAACGATATATCATGACGTATCTTTTTCTTACGATGCACCCGAGAAACGATATATCACGATATATCATTGACTTTGAATAACACGCAGCGATATGTCATGATGGTGAGGGTGAGGGTGATGATACATTGGGGTCATGATACATTGTATCCTAAAATAAAAAAATATCATTTTCTTTAAAAATTTTTGACTGGGTAGACTAATTATATAATCGACTATGAGTCGATGGCATCGACTCGATGCTGTCAAACTATACTGTGGAACGAAAAGGAAAGAAACAACATATGACAGTTTGATCATTATTTTGTAAAGAAAAGTGGTTTGGGAGTCTAGATATTAGGAATAGTCAGTTACGTTGTACATCGCAAAGATCTCACTAAGGCAACTGTGACTTTTACTCGGGGATCTTCGTGTTGAGATTTCACGATTTCCTACAGTACCGTACAACTTAGTTTACCTTCCAACTTCAAAGAAAGCCATCTGTTTGATCTTTCTTCCTTCTTCGCGCTTATAGAAGTGAACATAGACATCAAGAAAAGGAGAAAACAACAATTTTTCTATTTTAATCTAGATATTCATTTATTATGTCTAAACGAAGCAGTTCTCATCCTATATTCTAACAACTTCGAGAATTAAAATTAAATTAGCTAGAGAGGACCATTTTCTACTTTTTATAGTAGTTTGAAGTACACACGTTGTACTATATACTGATGTATTTTCTAGAAAAAGATCCATTTTAGTTTTTAAGATACGTGGCTGTCAATATTGGTGATTAACGTTTAACAAATCATACTTCTTTTATATGCAGCAGCTCTTTTTGACTACCATGACTTTCCGGCTTTCTCTTCGGGTCATGGTACTCAGAGATAATGTGTGTTCAAACTTTACTTATTCAGTGAATAATCACATAAAATGAAATATCAAAATAAGATTAAATCAAAATTAGGTTTTTCTTTGAGATCTTTGTATATTCAGAATCAGTATAATCGATTGCGCGGTACAGCATGGTTCGTATATATGTATATAGAACGTTATTTCTCTTTAAAGAACAAAATAAGGAAAGGCAAAATTTTATATTTTAATTGAAATTTATTCTATATTCAAAAGCAGCAGTGCTGGCTGTGAATTTATTCTATATTCTGCCTACTTAAAACTACAATAACTAGAGAGGACCCTTTTCCACTTTCTATACTAATCTGAAGTACACAATTTGTACTATATATTGACATATATTCTAGAAAAAGGTCCGTTTGAATTTTGAAGATATAGAGCTGTTAAAATCTATGGATTTCACTTTGATTTTGGAATTTCATGTATTTGAAATGACCAACATAATTTTCTTGACCACCTTTCGGAACATCATAGTCAGATGAGTCCAGGTTGAACTTTTGTTTTTTCTAGTGGAACCACTAAAACTGAAAAGTGAAACCCATACATTTTACTAAGTTTAATCTCGGATATTGACAGCTCTATATATTCAAAACTGAAAGAGATCTTTTTGTGGAAAATATATGAATATAGAGTACAGCTTGTGTAGTTCAGGTTGGTATAGAAAGTGGAAAAGGATCTTCTCTAGCTATCTTAGTTTAAATTGCGAAGTGGCCAGAATATAGAATGAATTCACAGCTGGCCCTAGTCGACTCTCCCACTGAAAGTCCCTGGGGGCTCCCCGAAAAATGCATAATCCGTGGAGCCTGCCTAGGGAGTGCCTAAAAATGTGTACTCCCCGAGGAGCCCCTAGGGAGTCACCCGCATACTCCCCAGGGAATCCCCAACATGTACAATCCCGGGGAGTCCCTGCCAATTCCCCATTCACCTTCTGGTCCTTAAGAAGGATCGAATACTCACTTCATTTCAAAATTGTCCAAAGACTTTTTTAGATATGTTTTTCAGATAGTCCCCAGATCGATTTTTTGGCTTTGTACAACAGCTGTATTTTCATAACGAATCAACGTTCAGAGCCGAGACACTTTTCGTTTTGTAGAGAAATATTTAATATACTTAATTATGTAGTTGCCATTTTAGATTACTTTGTAGCTTTATTGCAATAATCTTTTGAAATGAGCGAAAAAAGCGGACTGTTAGCTGGACCAACCGTGTATTAGACTCGCAGCACTTGCAACATTTAATGTAAAACTAAAAGTATCAAAGCACGATAGTGCCTATTGCAAAATACCCTTTCCTCGAACACACTTGCGAAAATGCCTGAAAACTTGAATTTATCAGTAACATTGTACAGCATATACATTGAGAGAAAAACGCAGCATGAAACCTCTACTACTCAACAAACAGCAAAAGAAAAGTAAGTTCAGAATATCTATGGAAGTCCAAATGTGAGCCTGGGTTTAACTTAACATTATTCGTTTCAGCTAGGAATTTGCTAGTGTTAACTTATAATAGTATCCACATTGTTTTATCAACTCATTGTGTTGACCATATTCAATAATTTGTCCGTTTCGTCCTATAACACATATTAAATCGCAGTTTCGGATAGTTGAAAGACGATGTGCAATCATTATTGTCGTACGATTTTCTTCGAATTGTGCACGTTCAAGCGCTTCTTGTACAATCTGAAATGAAAAAGACTTTCTAAAGTTGTTCTTTCTAACGTGGTACAAGCGAGACAAACCTTCTCATTTTTACTGTCCATTGCTGAGGTAGCGTCATCAAGCAGCAATATTTTCGGTTGCTTTAGTAAAGCACGAGCAAAGAGTCGGTTCACGTATTTTGTAACGCACAGCCCCTTTACCTTCTTCTTCCAATACAGGCTGACTCAGTGAGAGTCTCACTGTGTGAACGTTCACACTTAAAGTGTTACACAACAAAATATCTGACTCCACTAGCCCAGATTACATAATAATGTACAATCTCCATTGCAATGCGTTGTTTTTCGCCGCCTGATAGTTGTGTCCCTTTCATTCCAACATTGGTTCTATAACCCTAGAAGAGAGAACACGAAGATCATATATGGTTAACTAAAAGGAAGAGTACAGCACCTGTGGCAATGTTTGTATAAAATCATGTATATTTGCTTTATTGGCCGCATCCATTATTTCAGCCATTGTAACATCTTCCATTGATCGTGAATGATCACCATAGGCAATATTTTCTCTAATTGTTAGATCAAATAAAACTGGCTCCTGACTAACTATAGCAATCTGAGAACGTAACCATTGCTAATTTAATTCACGTATGTCATAACCATCCACGAACTAAAGACAAAAAGATAGTGTTACTCAAATACTAACACATTATGCGAACTAAATAGTGGGAAGTAAGAACAGTTTATGAGTAAATTTTGAAATCAACAATTGTAAACGTACCAAATGCCCCTTAGTAACATCATAAAATCGTTCAATTAGTTGTATTATTGTTGATTTACCACAACCACTTGCACCTAAATAAGTAGATATGTGTCGTGATACATTCTCAAAACAGACAACTAGAACGGACCTACTAAAGCTATTTGTCGTTGATCTATAAATAGGAAAAATGAAATTTTAACTTTTAAGCTATGAATTTTTTCTTACTCGGTTTAATCGTCAGTTTAAATTTATTTAATATCAGTGCTTCTGGTCTTGCTGGATAAAAGAACTCCACATCATTAAATTGAATTTTGCCCGTAAAATTCTCCTTTAATGGAACATACGTACATCATTATGAGAAAGTTTGACAGCTCTACTTTTTCCACCACATGGATTGAGGAGAAATTTTGGCAAACGGATTAGAAACTATATATATTCTGAAAGTTTCGAACAACGGTTACTTAAATATTTTTTGATCATAGTGCAAAAGTCATTTATCACATTGTACATTGAGCATATTTTATGGGAATTTTCAACTTCTGTTGCTAAGCTTGCTCTTGTCCTGTTAAAACTAAATAATTCGTCAATTGTATGCTATTGGGCGGGTCACGGCGCCAGTTGTTAGGTTCGGTACTTTCTTCTGTTTGCTCTACAAGACTGAGCTATTTATAAAATGTTTCCAAATCAAGTTTTGGTACTTGATTTTCTAGGATCCTAGTTTTCCAAAGACTCAGTTCTCAGCGATTCTAATGAAATTGCCATATGCACCACATCTGAGTAGAAACTCTTTTTTCTGTTCAAATCACTTTTCGATTTCTTTTGACTTTCATGGTTGAAGAAAGAAAGTAAAAGTATGTCGCTTCCATAATTTCGAACAGTACTGTATTTGGAGAAAACGTATTACTCGTTCATCTTATTCTATTTTTCTAACGAGGGAACATATTTGAGTCTCTCTTGTAGAGAATTTGATGCTAATTACGAATATGAATATCTTAGTTGCTATCGTTGATGCCTTAAACAAATAGAGGGTACAGCTTCTTCGTCTGAGGCCCCTCCTTGCCGGCAGATATCAATCTTGTTAGACTTTTTTGTGAAGCAGTCAGAAAAAACTGACAAAGATTCGACATGAAAGAGTCGTCTTTCTGCTACAAAATAGTATATCCGAAAAATCCGTGTTCGTCGTTTTTATTAGCAGTTCTTCTTTTAGATCAAGTCGGAAGTGTGCCCACGTGGACTGATTGATACAAAGTTGTATCGCGTTTTCAGCTTCGTACAGATAATTCATCGGACACCAGATATTGTGAAACCTCGAGCTTGTGAATGAGTATATTCATAGGGAAAATCCTCATAAGATATCTTTCACATGTCTCAAATCACAACGTGATCAGACTGTAATTTCAAGATTTTTCACACTATCTTTCGCAAGCACTATGCTTCAGGAACTACATGAGCTATGGACGTTTTGGATATGCTATTTTGTAGCGGAAAGACGACTCTTTCAGGTCGGATCTTTCTCAATTTTGCTGACTGCTTCACAAAAACGTATCAGTCCAATAAGATTGATATCTGCCGGCAGGGAAGGACCTCAGACGAAGAAGCTGTACCCTCTATTTGTTTAAGGCATTAACAATAGCAACTAAGATATTCATATTCGTAATTAGCATCAAATTCTCTACAAGACAGGCTACTTTTCATCGCGTTTCTAGGGGGGACCCTCAAATATGTTCCCTCGTAAGATTTTCATATATGTTATAGGTCACAGTCTAAGTAACAAGTTTACCTTTGAGAGTATTGCTTAATAAAATCTCTGAAGGCGTCAGAGATTTGTCTCTGTAATACCCGTATATGTGTATGGACTTCACTTTTACCCCAAACCGTCTTTCCAAAAACGAAATTTTCTAGCAGTGTTTACCATTTTAAGATTTACTCAGAAACGGTTTAGCCATAACCTGAGGCATTTGCATGGCTTATTGAAGAACAATCGGGCTAGACAATGAGATATTTTTTAATTTAAGCCTCGTGGTATATGAATAGAAGATCATACACTTACTCTAATTCTTTTTTCTCTCTTCTATAACAAGTCAGAAATCACGAAATTTTTGAATAGTGATTGCTTCTCCTGCCCAGGCTTAGCCTGTTTCTTGGAGGAATAAACAGAAAAAGAAAGAAACACTGTTTTTCATTTAGCCGAAAAATATTTAAGTGACCGTTGTTCGAAACTTTCAGAATATATATAGTTTCTAATCCGTTTGCCAAAAGTTTTGCTCAATCCATGTGGTGGAAAAAAGTAGAGCTGTTAAACTGTCGCAGAATAATTCTGGTAAGCACATTAAGATAAAATGAGAGATTAGTGTTTAATCTTACTATTTGTTTTCCTTGTGACGAACTATGATTAATTAATGGCTTTCTTTCAAACAAATCAACAAAACTCTCTGCAACGGAACTGGATATACCGAATTCTCTTGTCCTTAATTTAAAAACAGAACATAGTACTTTGTTTCTAACCATTGTTCGCTGGACTGTGGATCTCGAGTTATACTGAATGAATTTTGAATCACGAAAAGTTCACAATCAATTATTAATGAACACTCATAGGCACACTCAACAGGCTGTTTTCATACTAAAATTAACTGCTTAAAGAGCGCAAAGTACGTCATAGAATTTCAGAAGCCTTTTTGTTTCATAAAGAGAATGATTCTCAAGATAAGTGTAAACAGTTGTCTGGCTTCTTGTTTTTGCTAGTCGTTCCGTTTTATAGTCAATAAAAAAGAAGGAAAATTACTTGGAGTTTCTAAATCATATACTTTGACTTTTAACAAAACAGACGAAGAGTAATGCTGGACTTACATCCCTAAAATTATTTGTAGTGTTTGTAAACTGAAACATACAAAGGCGAAGACTCTTGAAAAAAATGAAAAAAACAAAGTTAGAAATGCTCAAAGGAAAAATAATTACAAAATAAGCTAACTTACATCACAATATTTTCTGTTTTAATTTCATTTTGTTTAATTAAATTAGTAGCAACTGTAAACAATGTTGCTAGTATAAAAAAACACATTGACATGGTTATACCAAATATCAATGCTGCTTTGTGTTGATATATTTTTGATAATCTAAATATATTATTTCTTACATTACTTAGAAGGAGAGGAATTTTTAAGTCACACTTACCTCGTTAATTGATGTAACAAAGATGAATATTTTTTAACAAAATTATCTTCTTTTGTTAATTGCTTAACAGTATGAATATTTTGAATTGATTCAATGGTTAACTATAAATACAAGATATAGAGATGGATAACTTGTCTACACGCACATACATACCATTCCAACTTGCTCTAATAAATATTTCTTCTTATCATTTAATACATTTGTTGAATATATATCTGAATAACAAATTATAAATAAAAATAAAACAAATCCGATGATGACTAATGCTAATTGCCAACAATAGATAAATCCTAATATTAAGCCAATACCAAGACCGGCCAGTGCTTCAAGAATCATTCCAATACGCATTCCAGTTACTGTTTGAACAGCTACAGTATCTGCCGATAAACGTGTACATAATGCACCAGTTGCATTTTCGGGTCTGTCAAACCATCCCACTTCTTGACATAACATACATGCAAAAGTTTTCGAACGTAAGCGTTTTGTTAATTCAGCTCCAAAACAAGAAAAGAACAGATTCTAAATAAACATACATCCCGATTTACTTCCGAAACACGTTTCAACTTTATACATAACTAGTATTTTTTTCATAACTATTTCTAGTTAGTGCTGCTTATTTATTTGTAAAGTAACAGTGCCCACTCGATTTCTTTCAACTTATTAAAATACTTAGATAAAATATATAATTTGACTTCTAGCAAAGTCAGAGAATTATAAAAGGAGATATCGGTGTTAAGTTGTATATGCCTTTTATATAGAAAGTCGTATACGACTTTACGAATTCGACATGTATGAGTGCAACGATCATCTTTTAAGACATTAATCGTCGAATGTTTTCACTTTATTTTCAAGAAAAGCAGTAAAACTTAAATTTTCCACGCTGGGACACGACCTTTCTTTGCGTCACACATATGCAGACACGCTAAACGCTGATTCTGGCGGGATGCTTGTTACTACGATGGGCTTCTTTCATTTTATGCTAAAGCTATTGGAAAAAAAGGTGATCGGATTTTGATAAGAAAGCGTTACTTGTCCTTTGTCTTTTGGGAAATTATTCTCGTTATTTCGAAACAGCAGCTACTAAAGGAGTCCAAATATACAATTTAGAATCGGACAAGGCGGAGAAAACTAATGCTCGACGATTACTCTCAACAGGCAACCACATACTCTAAAGATTTTGTGTGTGAACCTCGACTCCTGCGGATCACGTAATAACCTTGAGCAAGTTACGCACGTCTTGGTGCTTCGGATCACCCATTCGACAGCATAATTACTACGTTGTGACGTATAATAAAACTCATCCGACTTGTCCTTTCCGGGAAGCTAGTGCGTGGTTAGTAAGAGGAGTGCCAGAATCAATACGATCGTACTGAATTTAAAGCTCCAAAACGATCGTTCTGGTATTTAGCTAATGAGCCACGTAACTTATAATTCGAGTGTATGGACAACTCAAGAAATTGCGCGGAAGAACTCTACTATTAAACCTGCCATTGGCCGCATCCTGCACCGGTAACGGTAGCCGCAAGGCGAGGTATTTTGCCTTCCTTCTTCTTCCTCAGTGCCTTGGTGTTTTCCGAATAACTCAAGAACAAAAAGGGATAAAGAGCTCCGATTTTCAGCATTTTTTAGAGTTAACTTAACTCTACCTGAGGCAGCTACAAAGGACTAGTCGGAGGAGTTTTGTTGTACATCACGACGTAGTGAGTAGGCTATCGGATGAGTGATCCGAGGCACCAAGACATGAGTAAATTGCTCAAGGTTAGCACATGACCTGCAGACGCCGAAGTTCTAACATAGTATCTTTAGAGTACGTGACGAACAACATAACCACCAGACCATGCCGCACATATGAGATACCAATCAAGTGTCCTAGAGTACAGAGTAAGAACGTTTGTGCTATATAGCGATCTCGTTTCTCTAGTTTCGGGATTATATATCTCAACTAACCAAGATCATTATAAGAATCTAACAAATCCTTATTTAGAAGAAAACGCTTTGCTCTACAAAACTATACATTTAGAAGAATTTCCAAACGTAGAAACAGGTCTTTGGGTTTCCTAATTGACTTTCTGTCTCACTTTTTGAGAAAAAGGTTTGACTGTAGAAAATACTTGATACTTTAATATTGTACCCAAGCCAGAACTGAACAGAACCTTTGGCAGAAAAGTAGGAAAGTACTAAGTTACCATGCATAAAGATAAATTACTGAGTCCAGAAAACAAATGTATAAGATAGTTTAAGTTATTGATAGTTATTTTTAAAAACCTGCTTTAATAATACCTGAAGTAGTTTTGTAATACATGCAATAATGCCTAATATAAAAAATATTCTACAATAAAATTCCATATGATATTTTTGTATTTGCTTATCACATTCTCGAAATATCTACAAAAATAAAGGGGTAATCGTTCTTTTTTGTTTTTAAATAATTCAGAAAATACTAACATACATCAATTATTTTACTTAGCATAATGGCAAATGCTGGTTGAATAGACCCATTACAAATACTGGCTAAACATCCAAACAGAATATAATACCATTTTGAACTGTTTAGTTTTAATAGTGTTATAAATGGTGAATGATTTCTTCGTTGTGATCTATACTAGAATAATGACTACAAGAAAATGAACAATTACTTGTTTCATGTCATTACCTAACATTTTCTTTATCATCAGTATTTTCCACACTAGCCAAAACACTTGAAAGTCTGCTATGCATTTTAGTATCTGCAAATAAACAAACTGATTGTATCACATTTATGAAGCAATTTTTAGAGAGAAACGCTGTTTGTATTCAACAAGTTGTTCTTCTTCATCGTCTTTCGTGTTACCTTCAGTAACATTTTGAATATTTTGTGTTTGCATGAGATCATAATATAATCCTTGTTTTGACATTAATGTATTATGATCGCCATGTTCGATAATCATACCATTATCCATTACATAAATTTGGTTTTGAATCCTTTTTGATGCCAAACGATGGGCAATAACAATTGCTGTTCGACCTGTAAATGGAAGAAGAAAACACAAAACAACGATTAGTCGCACAGATATTTCTTCTTAAACTTTCAACAGAACGATATTTATTTTGTTTTCTCCTGTTAAAAATCACCTTTGCAAGCTCGATCTAAAGCATCTTGTACAATCATATCAAAATTTGATGGTTTTTTTCTAGAGATGCGTCAACCGAGATTTTTGCATATTCGGAATCAGCGCGACGAGTTACGTTGTACGGCGCAAAGATCTCGTTGGGACCCCCTCCATTTTTTGGATCCGGTGGCTCCGTTGGAGGTTTCACGGTATATTACGCTATATTCAGCTGTAGACATCAAACACACTGCGTTCACTTTTCTTTCCTTTGATCTTATTTTTCTTCCGTCTCATATATTTTTCTTTCTCGTTCATTTTCTGTGTTCGCATATATGTATGCAGAACTTTATTCCGTATAGAAAAGAACAAATTTTCTATTTTAATCTATGTATTCATTGATTACATGCCCAAAGAACTGATATTCTACCAACTTCTTAGATTAAAATTAAATTAACTAGAGAGGGTCCATTTCCACTTCTTATACTAGTTTGAAGTATACAAGTTGTACTATATACTCATCTATTTTCTAGAAAAGACCCCTTTTAGTTTTTGAGATATGTCGCTCTCAATATCGATGATTAACGTTTAACAAATCATACTTTCTTCTTTTATATTCAGCAGCTAGAAAAAACTGTTTTTGACTACCATGACTTTCCGGCTTTCTCTTCGGGTCATCATAGTCAGAGATAATGTGTGTTCAAATGGATAAAGAACATAATGAAGTCAAAATCATTTCTCCCGTAGATAGGCTCATCTTGTTTCATATCTTTCTGATCAGAGAGATTAGTGAAACATAATCTCATAAAAGAATTATATAATTAGCTCAAATTGATAACAATCAGCTGTCATCTTCTGTACACTTCTAAGTATAAAAATGACTGTAAGAGTCATTCTCCTTACAGTGTACATTTGATATTCTCGAAAATTGCATCTAAAGGACATTCGGCGTGACTAACTTATTTGCAAAAGTACCGTTAGAATACACAATACAACTAATTTTAGACAAATTATATACAGTGAATGACAAGTGTAAAATAAAATGTAGCAAGAAATCCTCTTTATGTAGAACTTGTCAGGACAGAAAAGACGTGGAGCTTCTTCTTCGGACAGCAACTGCTGACACTCATTTTTCGTTTAACGGACAACTTTAGAGACAAATAAATGGTGTGGCAATGGGTTCACCGTTGGCACCTATTTTAGCAAATATTTTTATGTCTTATTTGGAAAATTGGCTCTTTCCAGACTTACAGAAAGAAGGTGTTCTCTTCTGGACTCGCTATGTCGATGACACTTTTGTTCTTCTAAAAAATGATTCATCAGTTGATAGAATTATAAAACTTCTGCATTCGTTTCATCCAGACATAAAATTTACATATGAAAACGAAAATGAGCGATCTCTTTCTTTTCTGGACGTAAAAATTATTCGTACTGCAACAAACTTTCAAACAACAATTTTTCGAAAGAAAACATATACAAGCCTACTGACTAAATGGAACTCATATGTTCCACTTACTTATAAAAAGAGCTGTGTAGGGAGCATGATTAATCGTGCCATACGCATATGCTCTTCATATAAAATATTGACGAATGAGTTGGAGGAAATTCGACTTGCCGCAGCCACTTGTTCCTTTACAGATACAAAAGGGCATCTCTTTATTTCGTAAACAGGTTTACCTCACCTTGATTACATACCGACAAGTGCGACGCATTGACCTACAAGGAAGAAAAGGATGGGGAATGTCTATCTTTCACATCATTTGCATACCGTTTCCTCACTAACCTGGCTGAACGTGTAGTCGGAATTTCTTCAGTACTGTTAGGTTTGGCCGAGTCGGATAAACAAATTTAACATGATTAAACTCGATTTTACCATCGAAATTGTCCTTCGAACACACAGTATAGAAACAAGAATATAGAGCTTCAACTGTTGACTTCGTCGAACATACTAGTATTAGACCATCTGTTGCGGTATTGTTAATGGATGGTTGCCGTTCAAATAGATCAATAAAACTATCAGCAGAAGAACCTGCTTTAACGAGTTCGGTTACCCTAGGTATATGAAAGATTCTCACATGTAACTTTCATTGTAGTAGAATATCCATTTATTTCCATGTTGTAGATATGCAATGTTATAATTCAACATCAAAGCGATTTTTTGACTTTTGAGTGGAAACGGTAGGCGTATTTTTTCTAATTTAAATAATGGAAAATATATGCCGACACTTTATCGTTATAAAAGTTTCGTTCCCACTGTAAACATACATGAGAAAACCCGTTGCCCAAAAGCTATCCTCCATTTCAAAATAGAATGGCATCAGTTATTTACTGAATAACACAAAAACGGAATTAGCTACAGAGCTGTGGCTTTCAGATCACGAAAGAGGACATTCGGGGACATAATCTTGTGTAAAATGAGTCTTATCCAACAAAGTTATCATTATGTATCTTCTGAAGCAAAAAGTCCGAGTCTATCATTTTCAATAATTCATATAGCGAGATATTGCTCTTGATAAATGTGGATACAGAGCAGATATCGCTCTACAACCTGGCAAAAGCTGCAGGCAATCTCCGAGGACTTATCTAGCGACTAATTCTCAACCAAAGTGCTTCAAAGTGTGAGAAAACACTCCATTTTGCCTCCCATACAGTTTAGAAAGGTTAAACTTTCTTTTGATACTGATATTTCGCCCAAGGATCTTTAGTGGTCCTCTGAAGCGCATTCAAGGTATCGTTTAGCTTTCTGTGCTTTTGTCCGTTTCACATGATGAAACACTTCGAAGCAGTGTACCATTTAAAATCACTTTTATTTTGGTACAGTCACAAGGGAAAGATCGTATTTTCTGAAAAATTCATCCTATACAGTTTTCTTAACCCGGACAACAAAACAAACATTGGCACAGTAATCAGCGTGTGCAATAGCTTATGCACGATGTGTTTGAAACTTCTATGATTGAGATTTGGTCACTAGATGGGTCCTCGGAGATTGCCTGCAGCTTTTGCCAGGTTGTAGAGCGATATCTACTCTGTATCCACATGTATCAAGAGCAATATCTCGCTATATGAATTATTGAAAATGATAGACTCGAACGTTTTGCTTCAGAAGATACATAATGATAACTTTGTTGGATAAGACTCATTTTACACAAGATTATGTCCCCGAATGTCCTCTTTCGTGATCTGAAAGCCACAGCTCTGTAGCTGATTCCGTTTTTGTGTTATTCAGTAAATAACTGATGCCATTTCATTTTCAAACTGATCATAGTACGACATACTCGATTCAACTTAAAAGAACCAAGCAACACAAGAAGAAATTATCTAGGAAGGCTAAAGAAGTTGTCTCTGTATCGTTGCAAACTTACTCAGGATACGGAAATAATACGTCGGCTACATTTTAAAAAATTCAGACTAGTTTTTCAATGCAGTGCTGTAGATGTTGCTGATTTTGGCAAAATGAAAGCGTTTGTAAACTCTCGCGATAACTAGAAACGAGAAAACGGTTTCGCTTGGATTCGGTGCGAACGCAATGTGTTTTACAAGCTGTGGTACCTTGTTCACCAAGAGTGAGGGTGATCCTCTGTTGATTGGATACCTGACGAGTTATTGATCGTGATTCAATATAGATTATTAGTAAAAGAGGCTCTCTCTATCACTGCAAATAAACCTAGTCTCAACAACATTGTTAGATCT